GGTGATGGCCTCGCCCACAGGGCCTGTTGACAAGGCGGGGGGCGAGAGTCCAAGGCATTCAAAACAGCGTGCGTTGGTTTTGGGGGGGTGCATGTGTGGTATCGCAGGAGCTGGCAAGGTTGCTGTGCGCGATGTTGTACAAGGATGGGGATGACCTCACCACACTGCTGGTCGAGGCAGGCATCCTCATCGCGAAGAGTGGCGGAGGGCATCAGCTAAACCGCGTCGTCCTGAAGAAGTGCTTTCGTCGGTCACGTGGTGGTCTCTGAGGGCCACTGGGTGACTGCCTATTGGCCCCGCGGCCAAGCAGGCGACTGCCGGTACCGGGTCTGCACCTGCGTGCATCATGCCTTGCACGCAGAGTGCGAGCACGTGAAATTCGTCGGAGGCCTGCGCGGCTCTCCCAATTTGAATAACGTGCCAGTCATCAGGGCGCGTGGTCGCAAGAGAAAGCAAAGGCGGTAAGCTCGAAAGTTGGAGCCCCACCCCCAGAACACGCGCCAGTGTTGAAACGTGTCTGCAAGTTAGCGCACATGTTAGCAAGGGCGGGGCGGGTGTGCCCGAGAGGTGCGCGCGTTCTTGGCGCAAACTGGGGGCGGGGAAGGGGGGGCCTCCCCGCGTCTGCGCGGTCTGCGTGGTGCAACCGGGGGCGCCCTGTAACGCGCCAGCGTCGAAGCACACGTCCGCAAGCCAGCACTGTCGGCAGTTGCTTTGCGCAGTGTTTGATTGGCCCTTGGTGAAACGGGCCCCAAAAATCTGCGGTGGAGTGGGGCTCACGCTGAATTTGCCTGCGTGGCATGTCCAGCCCCCCCCCCCCCGCCACACCAGCAGCGCGGCGGACGTGTGTTTCAACGCTGGCACGTTATCAGGCGAGGTCTGCGGGGGGCGCTTGCGCCAAGACCGCGCAGACACCACTCCAAGCGCCCTATATATGGGGAAGGGGCACGGCCCGTCCAAGCTGTCTGCGCGTATTGGGCAGGGCTGTGGCCCAAAAACTGCCCTCTGCCTTGGCCTGGTCGAAGCTGTCCTGGCCCTGCTGCAAAAGATTTGTGCCTGGTCCACGCAGCCGGCCCCTTTTCCGTGGCCCTGGCCTCTCTGATCCAACCCAAGCAGTCCACGCACGTGTGGAGGTCCCCAAAAGGGTGTGAGACGAATGTGATGCTTTGTAAAAAAAAGAGAAGGTCTTAACTCTTTGAGAGTTGTAAGTGGGCGGTCTTTGGTTGCGCAGCGGTCGAGCAGTTTGGGGGGTGAAACGGCTCCCGCGGCACTCTGCTCTGAGCGGTGTTTGTTGGTGGTCTTGGGTTGGCATGTCTGGCGTGTAATTGGTGCAAACTTCGGCCGAACCGCGCTCCCTCACCCCCCCCCCCCGAACCTTCCCCATAACGCACGCGGGCGTGCCCGACATTCTGCAAAGAGTGCTTTGACAACAGGGTTCACGCGGTCTTGGTGCAAACGGGGGGGGCTGCGCCCCCCCCAAACCCCCCCCCTGTAACGCGCCAGCAGCACTGTCGCCAGTTCGCTTGGCGCAGTGTTTGAGCGCTTCGCGAGGCGCAACAGCGGCGGCCCCCCCGCCCCTCCGAACCTTACCCCATAACGCACGCAGGCGTGCCCGACATTCTGCGAAAGGGTGCTTTGACAACAGGGTTCGGGCGGTCTTGGCGCAAACGGGGGGGGAGCTGCGCCCCCCCAACCCCCCCTCCTGTAACGCGCCAGCAGCACTGTCGCAAGTTCGCTTTGCGCAGTGTTTGAGCGGTTTGGGGGGGTGAACCCCTGAGGTGAAACAGTCACACCCCCTCCCCCCCCCCCAACCCCGCCCTGACCAGCCCGCACATCGTGCAGGCAGGGCTGTGGCCCAAAGCTGTCCTTCCCCTGCTGCAAAGCTTTGTGCCTGGTCCACGCACCGTGCCCTGGCCTTTCTGACCCAAGCTGTCCACGCACGTGTGGATCCCCAAAAGGGCGTGAGTGCTGACCCATGTGATGCTTTGTAAAAAACAAAAAGAAGGTCTCAACTCCTTGGTTTTGCTTTGAGCAGTGTTTGAGCGGTCCCGGGGTGGGCATGCCTGCGTACGAGGACACGCAGTACAAACATGTTTGGGGCGGGGAAAGGGGGGGGTTTACAGTGTGTCCCGGGGGTCATAGAACAAGAGCGGAACAGAATGTACATGGCGACCGAAGTTGAAGGGCTCCGTCATTCGAGCTTTTCTTTTCTAGTCCCATGCGGAGATGCGAACCGAGCACCTTTCCACGTTGGCTGTGTGAGAACTCGGTGGACCAGAAGTAGTTATGGGACAGTTCTGAGTTCGCCGCCGCTTTGGGGACTGTGTAGCAGCGATAACAGTGGTTCTCAGAGTCGCGAGTGAGAGAGGTCGAACAAAGCATCTCCGAATTTAAAAGTCTGCTGAGCTCGCCACTTTGGGGACTGTACAGTAGCAGCGATAACAGTGGTTTCCAAAGTCGCGGGTGAGAGAGGTCGAACAGAGCACCTCCGAATTTAAAGTCTGGTGAGCTCATCGCTCCGGGAAAGTACAGCAAATACAGTGTTTCCAAGCGGAAAGCGAGGTCGAACAGAGCACCTCGCGAAAGATGAGCGGGTGAGAGGTCGGACAGAGCACCTCCCTGAAAAAGAGTGGCTTGCACGCAGAGTGTGAGCATGTGAAATTCCTCGGAGGCCTGTGTGGGTGCCCCCGCCGCGCTCACGCGCACGCACATACGCACACCTACATGCCCACCCGCGCGCGCACGCACATACGCACGCGCACATACGCACGCGCACGTGCATTGCGCCCTGTGAAGTCCGGGCCCCCGTCCCGTGCACACGCACATGCACACACGCGCGCGCACGCAGGCACGCACGCACGAACGCAAGTACGCACGCACCCACGCACGCTGTACCTCTGGTGCCGAGGTTTGGCCCTCAGCTGGAGCGCTTGCAGGGGCTTGGCAGAGGGGGCGAGTACTTGTGTTCGAACTGCTCGTCGTTGTATCAGCTTTAAGCGCTCTTCAGAGGGTTCTAGACCTCCAGAATTTCAGAATTTCAAGGGTTCGGGGGGGTAACCCCCCGACATCTGTAGCATAAAAAAAGCACCTTCAGCATAAGAAAAGACACCTTCCAGCATAAGGGGGGGGGAGAGCATAAATAAAAAAGTGGCAGAGCATAAGAAAAAAATCGCCGGGGCAGATCGCATAAGAAAAAGCGGGGGGAGCATAAGAAAAAAATCGCTGCCCATATTACAGTATTGCATTGTTACATTCTTGAAGTATTACAGTATTTCAATATTACATGATTGCACGATTACATGATGATGCATGATTACATTATTACATCATTGTACTATTGCATTATTGCATTACGACATTAATACATCATTACAGTATCCCTTTACATGATTGCATTAATGTATTTCTCCATGATTACATTTTCACATCCAGCCCACACCAAAAGCCAAGCCGCACCTAAGCAAGCAAAAAGGAGGGGAGGACGGGTGCGGCCCCCCCGGGCCCCTCCACCCCCCCCCCCCACCCCCAAGCCCCCGCAAGCCCCCCCCTTCCCCTTGTTTTGTTGCATATTCTGAACCCTGAGCTTGCTGAAAGAGCTGAACCTCCCCGCTTGTTATGTTTTTTGTTTTTTTACACGTGCAAACTTGCTTTTGTAAAAACATCAGCCCCGTTATGTGTTGTTTTTCATTTCATTCGTTTTCGCCTGCTGTATTCCCATTAATGTGGAGGAAGCAGAGATTTTCCTAAACAAATGTAAGAAGGTTATCCGATTAACATCCGATTAACAGATGGAGAAGAAAGTAGAGGTTTCCTTTAAAGCATAGAGGAGATAGAGGTTCTGCAATCAACATATAGAGAAAGTAGAGGTTCTCCGATTCAAACATAGAGAATTAGCTTGCAGGACAAGAGCCAACCCCTATTAAAAAACATCCCAAATTTACGAAGTCCCTGATTAGTTTTCCAGCCAGGTTGCTGTCTCACCAGCCCAACCCACGGACCGACCAGGGCTACCTGTCTGTTGTGTGAGGTGAAGACCGCTGCAGCGGTCGGATTGCAGGGGCGGAGGCTTCGGGCGGAGGTTTGACGCGTTTCCAGGGGAAGGGGAGTTCAGGGGTTCAAGGATCAGAATGCGACAGTGTAGCTGAGCAGCAGCAAGGGGGGCATGTCCGGTGGAAGTAGCGCATGCCCTCGTGGCCCGCGGACCACGTAGAGGCGGCAACCCCCCATGCCCCCAGAAAGAAAGAGAGAGCGACAGGAGAGATCGCACACGAGGGGAAATTGCACAAAAGTTGGCAGCCGGTTCACTCAGATAAACAGCTCCGCAGTGCAACGTAACGTGTGTACTCGATTGGGGGTTGTGTTCGGGAAGTCTAGTCGGACCTACACCATACAGCCGGAGCAAGGAGAAGCAGTATCACCACCAGCAGCAAAATCACACACCGGCGCGATTCGAAACCGGGGAACTAAGGACCCACTAAGGACCCACTAAGGACGGGCCGATGCGGGGGAATCGCGCCGTGTAAGTGTGTGCGCTGCCAATTTCACCATGAGACTGGACCGAGTGGCCTGGGCGCGCCTGTGAGCTCCCTAGCCGGGTTCACAAAGGACCGCTCTGAAACAGGATCTGAGGCGATGCAGGACTCGGACGCTCGTCATGCGGATGCTTCGGCCTCCATGCCCCAAGGAAAGAAAGCAAGAAAGAAAGGAAGAGAGTGGGCGGACATAAGGTTGCCGACTTTTTTCTCCAGTTTTTATGTTTGCCCAGCCCCACACCATTCCGGAAGGTCCGGAAGGAGGGGGGGCCCGGGTCGTTTCTTGGGATGGTATCTTCCCCTTCCGCTTGGCCGTAGTGGCCGGGTCTCCCCTAAGGGGGGGAGGGGGGGGGGGTTGAAGAACAGAAGGAGCAGAAGAAGAAGCAGAAGAAGGAGAAGGAGAAGAAGAAGAAGAAGGAGAAAAAACAATAATTTAGATAGCAATAGGCTTCGAGACAAGTTGCAACGAAGGTTCGAGGCTGCCCAAGGTGACGAGCCGGAAGCGATGCTTTTCTCTTTGGAGGCCCGGCAAGCGATTTGTTTGCATGTTTCTCCCTTTTTGCCCCTATCGAGGCCATGTTCCCGCGTTTCGAGTTCCGCTGCTTGTGGCCGGTCGATTTTATTTCTGTTTCCTTCCCGAGTGTTGCATGAGCTGGCCCGCAGTGTTGGACAGGGAGGTGTTCGGTCGTTGCGCATGGGATTGACTGAAGATCAGCCGGACGTACCTCGCAGCGTGTTGATTCATGTTTGTTTTTGCAGCTTGCATTGTGGTGGTGGATTCCTTGTGCTTCAGCACCCGAGAAAGCCGATCAGCTGGTCCACACCGCCACATCTCACCCCGCATTAGTGTGCTAATCGGCCAATCGGGAAGCTTACGAGCAACTCACAGCACACAGCTAGCTGCTAGTTGCTTGTCTCTTTCCTTCATATTGCCTTGACACGGAGAGCGTGCAATCAAGCAGCTGCCCGTTACGCAGACAGCTAGGCTAAATCTGTGATGAATCAAGGCATGCTTTCACGTTTCCCCCTAGCTCTGATTAACGGGGTCTTTGCTCATGGTATCTTGGGGGGGGGGTTCTACAGGCTTGATTCGGTCTTTTTCTTGTGATCATTTCCTGATCCTAATAATTTATTGAGCGACCCAAGAAACGAGCAGAACAACTCTACATTATGAATATGTATTTTGTTCGCTCACAAAATTTCAAAGATTTTTTGTCCATTCTTCTTAATTGCAATCTTAAAGTCATCAAGAAAAGCTACAGAAGATAAGGCCACTAAATATTCGTTGAAAAAAGACGGCCATAAGTTTATTCAGAGTGAAAAGATAGGAAGAAAGAACAAACCGGACAACATGCCCGAAGATAGATTTTCCCGCCGTTCCAAGTAAGCCAACAAATACCAAGAAAAGCCTGTTAAGCTAAGCCGGGCGGGCTTCGGCAAGGCCGGGCGAAAGTGGAGGGTTGATGGCTTTATGCCTGTTGTGCTGGGTGGCTGCACTGACGCATGCTGCAATATTTTGTCTGTTCCAGCACGGGAGACTCGGTGTGATCCTGGTATCTCGTGTTGATCCGGAGCCTTGTAGGTAAACGGAAATCGCGGAATCTTAAGCCGAACAGGACATCCAGGAGGAGCTGGACGCCTTTCGTTGGATCACAACCGAGGCAGAGCGTCGCACGTCGCTACAGGGTCATGGTAGGCTTGATTCATTGTTTGGAATTCTTGACATTCGGGAAGCTCGCAGAGTTTGCTGCCAGGTTGTCGCCCGTCGGCTCGAGCTTGAAGCGCTGGAGGAGGCGGGCCGCCATGGATGGGGTCATCGGGGGCAAGAATTATCAGAAAGTCGAAGAAAGCAGAGCCCAGCTGTAGGAGAACCGATGCATTCGAGAGGACCCGGTTTGCTGTGACAACTCTTCCACATGCCCCTTTTCAGTCCATCGACGCCGTAAGCATTCCCGGTTGGATGTCGCGGTTGCCGTTTGCAGGAGCAGACAACTCTTCGGCAAAGGTACGAAGACATGATGGAGCAGGTGGTCTGATGCTGATTCGTTTGGCTTCTGCCTGCGCTCCTTGTTCAGGCAGAATCAAACTTGTCGGTTTCTCAGCTACACGCTCGTTTTGCTTCGCCTGATCGTCTTTCATGTGGCTGCGCTCATACCCAAATGCATCGAAATGGTCGAGGCGTGAAGACCATGAAAGCATGTGAGCAGCATTTAGGCGAGACTCGACGATGAGTTTGCGCTTGTAGTGCCACATAGTGCCAAAGTGAGTGCCACGCAGAACTCTTCAGGGGCCCTGCTGATCTCGGCCGATGGCACAGGATCCAAAGGATCGCGAGGAGGGCTCCCAGATGGCCACGATTCCTAGAAGAGACGATTTCGAGGTCCATAGAAATGCCACCGCACAAGGCCGGCTGGAGAAGATGTTGAAGAGAACTTCATCTTCGTGCCCGTCTTTATTTGGTGATTATGTCGTCCATGTAAGACGCAGTTCTACAGCAGTGCAACATTGCGGGCACGAAGGTGAGATGCGATGAGATGCGAAGTTGAGTTTACTGGAAGCGGGCGAAAGATGTATATCCAGTACCAGTAGCAGGGGATTTCGCAGGTGCACCATGTGGACCGTTCTGCAGATTGCAGCAAGCGATCGCTTGCAGCCACACCAAAAGCTCGCCAAAATGTGCATATGACTGTGTGCGGGGGTTGTCAGCAGAATGCTTTCGCATCGTTCTGGTCTATGGGCTGCGCGCTTCACCGTTTGAGTACATAAGTCGCAGTTGCTGTGGCGACTGTCATCTATTCGAAGCACACGAGATCGTTGTAGGACAGCTTGATCTGAGTCTGAGCACGACGGGGTACTGTGAGAGATCTTGACGGGCAGCAACATGTGTGCAACGTTGTGCCCAGTAGTGAAGCTGTGAAGCCGTCTCCCCATTTGAGTATGACGAGCTATGCTGCAACCTCAGTTCCCACGATGTTGGTTTCCATGACACGCAGCCTTTTGAGCGCGACTGACTGTGCAGTTGCTTAGGGATCGAACCCGACACCTTCCAGCAGCAGTGGTAGATACCCGTCTGCCCGAACCCTGGCTCCATGTCTTGACTTCGCGTCTGGACTTCGGCTTGGGCCTTGGGCCTTTGGTTTGGGCGCGTGTGAGGTTGCAGATGCTGCGGCGCAACGGGACACTGCCTGGTGCTCGTACTGGTCATGAAAAAGTTGGGAAGCCACAGTTTGAGCTCACAGTCTGCTTCGAATTCCCCCTGCAACAATCCGCACTGTGCAGCTTGTGACAGCTTGTGTCAATGTTGTGGAACTCAGGAGGCAGTGATCGAGATGCTGTCGCAGGGTCACAGAGTAGATGGCCAGGACGGGTTTTGTGCAGATTTTGCAGTTTTAGGCTTTAAGGGCTAACATGTTGCTTTGCAGGGCCTTATTCATGCCCAGGGCGGCCGTAAGGGTTGCCTCCATTTGGCTCCATTCTGCAGTCACTTTCTCTTGCAGATTGAGGACTCTGAGGGTAACACAGCTCTTCACTGGGCTGCATGGTTCAGGCCAGTTGGGCCAACCACAATCCAGCAAGCACGGCTGACTGATAATTACAGTTTACTTAGATTCAAGTCGGTAGGGAGAGTATCCGCGAACGTTCCCGCATCACACGTTGGTTTCAGGCTGGACACCTTGCTGAGCCCTTTATTGGAAAGACGGGCACGGCCAGACGTGGGAAATGATTCTGGTGAATGTCCAGTGACCCTGACACAAAAGTCAGAAAAGCATGTTGGCTACCGGCCACTTTCTGTTCATCGCAGTTGCCAAGGTACATTGGGCTGCGAAGTCTTCCAATGTCGCTGCTTTGGATGCCATGACGAGGGCTAATCGTGCTCTTCTGTCGCTGGTGCGCCCTGCTGTGCACCACCGCGGGCTGTTCATGTCGCAGTTCAAAGTCTTACAATCAAATACGTTTCTGCTCAATCTTCCAACAACCTTGCCTGACTGTGACATGCAGCCCTTTGACTTCTGGCATGTGGATGCATGTGGTACAACGTGATGCGCACAAACACACACACACACACACACACACGTTCTTGATGTTCAATAACCGACTGACATAATCTGACACCCACCAGCCGATGCTCGGTTCATCTCGGTTGACAGGGGATAGTTCGAGTACTGTTCGAGTCATATCGGTTTTACGCCTGGACAATCGTGACACGTGCCTTATCTCTAACCTTTTGTCAGCTTGCAGTGGCTCTAGCCCTATATAGCGATCTGAGTTACCTGGACAGCCCACCGTCTCGTTGGTGTTTGGCTGTCGTCGAGATGCAGCTTAGCTTGTTAACGTAAACACATCCGGGTCAGCTATCCGCAGCGTCACGGTGCCACAGTAGCATGAAGAAACAACCTGTTGCACTCGCATGCAGTATCATAGTATCATGTGGTAGGACGCGGTTTAGGCTTGCAGCCTGTCTTGTATATCCACCAAAGCCAAAATGCGAGGCACAAAATCATCAATGGCAGAACCGCTGTAGTCAACAGACAAGCATTTCGAGCGCCTCGCAATTGTGTGTCGATGCGCTTCCCCGACACGAGAGGAGGGTCTTGTGGTTGCGCAAGACACGTTAAACTTGTCAAGCTGCTCATCAAGTCAGAACTGTTGGCCAAGATCCACCGGTGTGAAAGTTTAAGTTGAGAGACAGGTGCAGGGTCACGTTTGCAACGCGAATAAAGCACCAAGATAGCTTCATGCCTAAAAAACAAAAATCTTCCGTACCACCTTCGTTGTGGCTGAACCGCCCTACCACTCACGGTGAAGAGCCTCAATGCCAAACATGCCTTGTTGGCTTACATACGCACATAGACACAGACGCAGACACAGACACAAACATGCTAAGAGCCAACCATTTCACGTGCTATGAAAGACATTCTTCAGCCTGACCTACAGGGCTCGCGTGCGAGAATCAAGCCCTGTGAGGCCCCATGCCTCTCGGGCCGCTGTAGAGAGCCTAGGAGCTTTGCTTCCCTACAACATGCAGACCCTGGAGGCCATAGCCATACCGGGCCATACCCATGAAACCTTGATCTCAAACATTGCTTCGGCTCTGGACCATGATGGGCCCGAACTTCATAATGTTCATATTGCGTTGTGGCGTTGTGGCCTTGCGCTTGTGGATGGCTTCCCCCACCTCTATCCCTCGACAGTTACCAGCTTACCCCTAGGGACTACAGAGTATACAGCGGGCTTCGTCGATTTTCATGCCGGGCAAGACAGCCGGAGACAGCCGACGTGCAGCATTACAATAAAAACAGAAAGGTACAATGTGTACAAGGATGCAGTTTCCTTACAGTGCATTGCCTGCAAGTTTGGCAGGGGTACTCTACCACATGCCGCGCCGCCAAAAGCTATACTGCCAAGCGCATAGTATGAGAGCGAACGCAATTCAGGCAAGCCGCGTGCAGGGCAATAACCCGAATCATGACCAGGGTCTGACTAACGTATTCTGGGGGGGGGGCCCTAGGTAGCCGGCATACAATCCGGGCTCCCGGAAATGTATGTTTAGGGGGGTCTTATGGGGTCGGTTGATGTGTGTCTGCCAATTCTACAACAACTGGAAGAAAACAACTCCTAAGACGAACGTAACAAACCCCCCAACATACACTTTGCTGCCCTGTAGATTCCCAGGAGCGTATTGTATTTTAGCCGGGGGGGGGGGGGTTAAAAAGTATTTAGGGCCGAGTATCCGAATCACTAACCCGAATCATGCTCCAAGTCCTTGAGTCCTGTATCTGTCCTGTTAGCATCTTTTGGCAAAGTGCCTCAAATCCCGCGACTTATCTGTGAAAAGCCAATGACCCACAACATGCCGACCTAAGAGCAGACTTTATTGCAACTGAGATATTCCGAGCAAGAATGTGGTTCTTGTTCGCTGGTTGTCGTGGTGTCATGTGTTTCCACTTCAGCTTCACCAGGAGGATTGCAGTTGAACATGTCACTTCCCATGAACATCTTCATGCTCGTGGTATGTTTTCCTATGGGGGTCAATGACGGAGTGTTTCCCATGTTGAATCAGGGGTCGTAAATTCGAGAGGACAGCCCGAAGCCGCAGGCGAAGTAATTATGAACGCTTGCACGCGCCGCGCTGACCGCAGGGTGGAAGCCATGGGAAGAGCACGTTGGCGATCCAAGCGGTGCACCTCGGAGTTTCCTGTCCGCCGGGCTGTAGCTGCGGAAAGAGAGCATGGAAAGTCCATGGGGTCGAATCAAAGGAGAGCAGCCGACATGCAAACCCTTGACTCTGCAGCATAAGGGAGCTTGTGGGACGTATAGGCTTGCTGGAGGACCCCGCCTAGCTGGATTCGCAGTAGAAACTTGCAGTGTGTAGCCTGTGCTTGCTGCACCTTAGTTGCCAAGCGAAGCCTGTTGTCTGGGGTGGCGGGAGCCGCCCACCCGCCCGGCGGCTTCAGGGTCACAAACATGTGCTCCAGGGGGTAGAGTGGTCGCAGGTTTCAAGGGATCCTGGGGTCACGAAGTTTCGACACACAATATTTTCACGAGAGGGTTGAGAAAGGGAAAGGAGACATAGGGAGACCAGATCTTAGTCCGCTTGCTGGATTGGTGTTTGCGTGATGTTTTGCATGCAGCCTGGCTGCTTGGGGGGTCCGAGACGCAGGAGATGTTTGGGCGGCTCTGAGCAACGTTTGGAGACCTTCAGAGCCCACTACTGCTGGTTGAAGGACTAAGGTCTTTGGGGACCCTGAGAGGCCACCACGTTTGGCTTGCAAAGGATGTGATCTCCAGTTTCACTGCGTGGGCAATTGCAGTGGTAGCTCAGCCATGAAACCAATTACTGGCCCGAGATTGAGCAAAAACACATGCAAGCATTCAATTCTCTCAGGGAAAGGAGGCTTGATGAAGAAGCGCGCGCAGCCAAGAATCGAAGAAGTACGTCTAAGCTGCCAATGGAATTCCAACATGTTCGAATGCATCAGGCCTCCAAGCCAATTTCAAAAGGCTAAACAAATATTTTCTGCCGGCACGGTACGATTTCGTCGTAATTACAAGAACTATCAAGAACTTCAACTTGGAGAGGTCAGCTTCAGCCGAACCAGGCTTTATGTGCCGGCACGTCAAGCCTCAGCAGGTCCCGAGTGGGGGCTCCAGAAAGGATTTGAAGTATCAACGATTGCAACCACAAAATTTTTAACACACACTTGACCCATTGACAGTAGGTTCTTGGTGCTGAATTTGGGCAGAGTTGAATGTTTGTGAGTATTCAAGAAGTCCGAGAAATCTGAAAGCTCAGGATGCGTTTCAAGGGCCAGCATTGCGGCAAGCGTGTTCATTGGAATTTGACGGGTACCCACGGGACCCACCTTTGAGAGTCATGTGTGTCACTCAGTGTCATGCCACTACTGATGCAGATGATCATAGCTGCCAAGTGCTGGAATTGCGGTGTGTGCCCCGCGCAGCGCGACTGCGACGGCTTCACGGCCTTCGTTCTGTCGGCTCAGACAGACAATTCTCCCATGATGGAGTGCAGCTGGCATGTTGAGTCGGTATGGTGCCTTCCCGTTCTTGTGATTTGTACTGCGCATCCCATCGGTTGCAGAGGTGGATGTACTTGAAAGGCGTCAGCATGGAAGAGCAGGCTGCCAGTGCCCGTCAGTGCTCGTTTATGCCGGTTAAAACAGTCAACAGTCATGGCTTGAAGTTGTGTGTTAGGATGACTATGGCCGAACAGCCCTTCAGTGGGCCTGCTACAAGGGCAACAAGAAGATGCTCTGGCATGCCTTGTAGTAGTTTTGCAGTAGTAGGCAGTCGTCTTGCGCCATCTGTGGGAGCTGGGAGGGCTTCTGGTGGGGCCTTGTGATGGGCTTTTCTTGCCATTTCTCCGTGTGGTTAACAGTGTTGGCAATGTTTGTTGTATGTGCGGATCTAGGAGCCTAGATGAGCCTATGAGTCGCCGAACATCCTTTGACTGCGCGTTGTCAGGACGGTTCAGTGGCTGCTCTCGCGATCTGCCAGTATCGTCCATCGGGACAGAGAGGTGCCAAGAAGCAACCAGCAGTCTCTCGCCCTCGCTCTCTCTGTCGGTGAATCGACACTGTGCCCTAGATCGTGTTGACCAGGGCATGACAGCGCTCCACTGGGCAGCGCTGAAGGGGCACGAGCAGGTGCCCCTTGAGAGCTCACAAGTGATCTTTCGTCTGTGAGCATTGCACTAGACATGATATGACATGATGCCAACTTTGCATTCCGGGCTGAGTGCATGCTCTACTTTCATGGAGTTGTTCAGCAGCACAGAGAACGACTTGAGCTGTGGGAACTGGAGAATCTGATCATCCCAATATGGCACCGGCAAACTGCGCCTGGCTTAATCTGGCTTGAAGCGTTCGATGGCTTGAGTATGGCTTTGAGATCATCACTTCGACATTGGCAATTTTATCCCACGCGTTCTGTTGTCCAATGCAGATGCTCCCGATTCTGAAGCACTTTCCTTGACTCATTGATTTGTATTCGGTTATTTTCGGAAAAGTCAAGCATTTCAATGGATTTGATGAGTATGCACCGCACTTCGCCGTGACCTTGGACACTAGCCAGGTTGCGGACATGCTTATGGATGTCGGGGCTGTGGAGCTTCTGGACGTCCAAGCCCGAGCAAACGCACACGTGTCTCTGGATAGTGACTGACATGAGCATACAGGCTTAGAGACACTCACCAGCTTTGGGCGGTTCGTCGGGCGGTCACAACTGCATGCTGCTGGACTTAGTGGAACACACGCAACACACACCGCTGAAACCCCGACCAAAAAGTTGCCGGCGTGGGCGCACTTGTAATTGTAAACGCTTGCGCGCGCCGCCTCGGCAGCCGGGCTGGCCCAGAACAGCATGCAGTGTGGAGATGACGGCAATAGGGCGAGACGGAGCCGTTGATTTAGGTGGTTCGGGGTGGGGGTGGGGGAGGTGGGGGGGGGGGGGGTGGGACGCAATGTAGGAGCCGTCGACAGGCAGGACCCTCCACGGCATCGGTTTGCAGCTGCTCCAAAAGCGATCGGCAGGGGTCCCACAGAAAGAGGGGGGGGTGGCGTCACAAAACTCTGTACGGGGAAAAAGGTTGGGTTAGGGGGAAGGAGACCTGATCCGGGTCTGCTTGTTCCAGACGCTTTTCGGCAGGAAGCCGAGGCGAATTTACACTGTTGCAGCTGGCCTTCATGCTGCTTTACATGCAGCAGCGTAAGCCGCACACAGACTTTCGCGCCTGGGACCGGGGGCATGAGGCCCGATGTAGCCCTGAAAGCAGGCATTCTGGTGAGTTGATTTATGTCGAGGTCCCAGATTGCGCAGGCGAGACTCCAATTGCGCTGGCAATGCGGAAAAGAAACAGGCACGCTTGCTTTACTCATTTCCAGCTACCCAGATCCAGTCAGCCTACTTAGAATCAGATATTCTTAGATTCTTGCGGCCTCTTTGAAGGTACTTGGTGGGTGCCTTCCACAAGTGCCAGATCTTTAACGTTGTCCTGGGAAGGCGGATGCCCTGTCGCCGGCTTCTTGAGAGCGCGGCCGTTCATACTCACAATCTGCCGTAGGCCGCATCTGTCTCACAACCACTTTGCAAATCTTTTCGTGTTCCCATCTCGGACATTGCTGGGCTTGTCATCTGTTCTTTTTCGAAGCGTCTCCATGCCATCCACCTGCCATCCACCTGCCATCGACTTGTCATGCGATTCCGAGGTGCTTCGTTGCGTACAACATTATTGTGTTCGCCTTCGTGCTAGCGCCAGGTGTGACAGAAGGGCGGGGAAGAACGGAGAAACCGGGCTGGGTCTGCTTATGGCCAGCCTTGCAGGTCCGAGTGTAAATTAACCTGCTGTTATCGTTGTCGTCGTTTGTTGGCAGAATCGTGACAATCTTATCCACCGGTTGAGGTCTTTAGCTGGTGCACCTCGGTGCGTTGCTGTTGCCATCTGTTGCCAATGATGTTGTCGCCATGTCCTCAACCCGACCTGGTGCTGCTGATGCTCGTTTTGCGAACCTTTAAGGGGAAAATGGAGAAACAAGTGGCGTTCTTGTGGATGGTGGACCAATCAGGTAAGAACCGGCGACGATTAATGCCTGAACAGCTGAGACAGGGTCCAAGCAGTCAAGCAGCAGGGGTCGACCGAACCTTCAATGGCAAAACCTCAACATCATGAAACTTATACCCCTGGGCCCGAGCCATTTGCTGACATCTGACGACCCTTCTCGGGCTCAACATCACCTGTCCGTAACACCATGTAACACCGTCTCAATGCCTGCGCGGCCTGGACACCGACGTGCTCCGAGTCATGAGGCCAAACAGGCGCGCCAGACTGCAGCCGCCCTCATGTATGAAGGCGAACGCACCAGAGGTCGCTGCGGTCAAGAAGCCGACGCCCTAGCTGCTGCCGTCAGAAACGGTCAAAGGAGATCCCAGCCAGCTTCACTGGAATCCCAGGTCTAGCAGGGCGCTGTGGGGTGTCAGTGCTCCCTTCGATTGCCTGCGAAATGAACGCAAAGAGGGGCGCGGGATTTGAGGTGAGGGAATGCAGCAACGCAGATCTTTACAGGAAATTCGGATGCCCACACCGGGACCGGGCAAATGTGCAAGTATATCTTTTGAGACGCCAGAACCCGACAACGCGGTAGCTCGCCGGGTGAGTGCCAGTGGAGGTAACTTTGTGCCTTCCGCGCGCTTTGGTCAAAGGATTCCGGATCATCGTGGACAGGGTGGAACGGGCCCATACCAATTCAAATATTTCAGTCGCACAGGCAGATGGATGCTGCAAAATTCGGTGCTCTCCTTGCAGCTCTTCTGAACGGCCTCTGTGCTGCGGGCCCGGGGGTGGGGGGGTGGGTGTGTGTGTGTGTGTGTGAGAAAAAGCGAGAAAGGCTGAGATCACGGATCATGGGCCGGTCGAATTGATTTTCTCGGGGTTTCGTGGCAAGCTGGCTTCACGAGGCGCACATCCCGTGAGGTTGTGGTCAGGATATTGTGAATTGTGCTGCGAATCTTGCAGGAATTGCGGCCAGAAATCCGGATGCTGTGATGACCTGGTCGATGCTGATGGGATTGTCTTGCTCTTACAAATTGGCGACAACTTGCAGGTGAAAAGCGACACGGCAATTAGACTTTCTCGACTTTTCTTGCAAGGTCGCTGCTTCTGTGGGTGCAGGTTGGCTGGACTTTGTGCCTCAAGCAACGTGAATCATCACTGTTTGCTGAGTTTACTGGTTCACATGTGGTGGTGACACCTCTGACCAGTGCTGCTTCTCGGACCCTGGCTGGCTTCAGCCTTGTTCTCAGATACATGGCATGACACGGGTCAGACAACATTGGAATGCCACCTGGCTCGCAGGCCAAGCAAGCTACTTTGAATGCCTTGCATCCTGTGAATGCTGACATGCAGGCCACGGACTATACACTCCCAGCATCACCTACTTGGCAATGACCCGGCAAGGCTTGCATCCTGGGTGATTTCCTGATGCTGTGTGAAGTCGCAGCGTCCATGAATTAAGAGTTCACTCCAGGTTCATTCAGCAGATGTCGTCTTCTGTGAACTCAGTATGGACAACTCAGGACATTCGATGCCGATCAACCCATCGAGTCGCAGATGGTTCCTGCTCCTGATGTTGCATCCAATAATTTTCTTGGCTGCCGGCTACATGGTTGTTGTGGAAGGCTCACTGCGACAGTGTGCTGCAGGAACTGACTCTAACAGGCTGGCTCGTTTCGATATCGCATCTAAGCAGCGAATTGGTCCACAAAGCAGGTGACGGAGAGGCGCCGGAAGTCATGAAGTTGGAGCTGGAGCAAAACAAGTGCCCGAAGATGCTGAGAATGATAATAAACACTATGGCTTCAATCTATAACATGCGTCAAACCTGTGAGTCAGAGCAACAGCGGGCTGGCCGAAATCTCAATGGGTTCCAATACTAAAGTGCCACAAAGAGGAAACAAGCTCGGTGCGTTTGTTTTTCCATGTTTCCAGCCCTTGGGTCTTGGACGGTTCCCGGACACTTCCTGGAACGGCCACTCTGCCCCCCAAGCCTCCGAGAACAGTCTCAACAGAGAGAAAGTCGCTAGGAGAAGTACGCGTTAATCAACTATGGACATGACATGGTAGCTAGATAGCTTAGGTTTACCGTGTTTTTGCACTAACTTTTCTTAATTAGCATCGAGAATCGTTGTTGTGGCATTGTTCCAAGTTGGAGTTTCCAGCTTGTTCAAAGTTGAAACGTAAAAATGAATAAGACGAGGCGTCTGTTCACATCAGCTAGATTTCTTACTGAGCCTTGAACCTACATCTCGAACCTTCGACCAAACCCAAACCCAACCTTAGATGCTAAGCTTTAACCTTTGACTTCAGACTCTCTATGTTAACCCAAAACGCTAAACCCCGACCTCTCAACCTTAGATCCTAAGCCCCAAACTTGAACTCCACGCCGTGAAACTTGAACCGCTGAACTTTGAACTCTAACCTGGGACCGTCTAGTTTAACATCCAAACTTTACCTTATACACAAGTCTAAAGTTTTGGATGTCCATTGCAATCAATCTTTAGAGTTTCCAGCTTCGGGTGAGCTTGCATTATGCCCGTGCAGACCCCAAGCAGATTTAAGGGTTGACATGAAGGATTAGGAGAAGGCTTGCACGGATATCAAAAAGATGCACATACACACCGTCGTTTGCAAATGTTTGCTGAAACCATGGAGTTTTGGTGTTTGATGCTTGAAGCAGTCGTTCAAAACAAGTCCTTGGCAACGGGAGCAGCGGTTTCTTCTCTGCACAGTCCACGGGAAAAGCGCGTTTGTTTCAGTGTAGCCGGGCCGGCCCAAAAAGGGGGTTTCAGGAAAAGTTCCAGGAGTCTCCCACAGGGGGTCCGGGTTCCCAGGCCCAAAAACGCAAAATCGTCTTTTTTGGAGCGCCCCCTCTGTAGGAGCCACCGACAGGCGGGACCCCCCACGGCATCGGTTTGCAGCTCCTCCAAGCGATGGAAGGGGGTCCCACAGGGGGGGGGGGGGGGGGGGGTCTGCTTGCAGGAAGCCGGCGAATCTTCGAGCGAGCCCACATGACTTCCATACAGACGATCAGGATTTGTAACGCGTATACATGCTTCATGCTTCGTTAAACCCGTCTCGATCAATATACAGCAAAATTTGCTATGTGACTTGCCACACGGAAATCAGTTTCGGGTTCTGATGGACGTGGATAGCGTTGACGCCGTCGTTTAAGCAAGTCCTTTGCAACAGGAAAAAGACCGTTTTTTCCGTACAGTCTTGGGGGAAAATTGTTGTCATTTCCGGTACAAAGTTCGTACGGCTTGTGTTTTTGGGCATGCGCGACATGCAGCTGACTGGTGATGGAGCCGTGGTGCCTGAAGGTACAACTATCAGCGACAACTTTTGCGAGAAGCACGGAAGCGACTGGAAGAAGGACGCGTAGTGCTGTAGCGTTGCATGGCTGTGGCTGGCTCCAAAAGAGATGAAATGAGATCAAGTTTGGACAGCTGAATGGAGAACAGAAGGGCTTTGCACCAATTTGAATGAAATTTCCCTTGTGTCAGGCTGTGGTCTGGGTGATCGAGACCCTAGAAGCCCGGCCTTGGGTGAATTGCAGCTGCGGTCTCGGATTCCGCCGCTAGCAACATATAGCATAATATGGTTGGCTTCATGTTATGGAGCTCTCCTCCTAAGGCCGCTCATAGCCTCAGGCCCATGTTTCCTGAATCCGGCGTTTGGGCTGTGAGTTGTGGTTGTTCTATCGTCGCAGGCTTCAATGATGGTAGCACGTCCCGGCAGGACGGGCATGAAGTTGCACGACATTGCATAAGGGAGAGGGTGGGGGTGTCAAAGTGGCATCGAACTGCGGTCAAGCATTGAAGCATGTCGGATGGGGCACCACCATGCAGGCCCAGCTGGATCGCGCAACCGTTACTCTGCACGAGCGTGAACGCGTCACAGGTGGGAGTGCATGGCCAACACAGCCAAAAGCCCCGCAACTGTACATTGCCATTACATTGCCTCTGGCGGTTTCATGCAAGGCGAAAGCTTGGGCCGGGCTCGGGTGGAACATCTCCTCGCGCACGGGTGACTTGACACAAGCCCCGATGTAGCCAAAAAACACAAGTTTCACTGCAGGTGCGGCGAGTACTTGACTTTAGTGGAGAAGGGTGACTTCAAGCAGGCATGCGAGAGGAAATGGCCAGGCGGATTCTGCGCATTCGGTGCGCATTGCTTCACGCTTGGCAGGTGTGTGTCATCTGCCGTGCGAGACGTAAAATGCGCTCGCATCACTGCAAGGACGTGCTTGAAAGCTTGGGTATGAAATGGAAAGCGCCCCCGGAGAACCCAATATGGCTTCAATACCACAACAGATGAAATAAGCGAGGCGGTTTTCAAGATAGTCACACTTAACTATTACCAATCTTGTTTACTTATCCTGGACAAAACGTTGTTTTACAGCAAGTCGGTCGTCACAGGCGATCCTACGAGAAGCTGCAGCTACTGCGACATTCCTTCTTCAGAAAGCAACGCTCAACTTGTATGGGAGACGGAATATGCAATGCAGAAGAGAGATCACTGAGGGATCACCAAGGAGCCCCATGTTCTGTGGAATCATTGTGACCTACCAACATTTGGACACATCTTGGATTAAAGGAGCGTTCGCAGGCAAACGGATTCGAAATGACTCAAACTGAGAAGCATCGGCACCAAACATCGTGCCAGCATGTGCGAGAGGGGAAAGGCGCTGGATTGCAGGGGAGCCTTCGGTCAAGTCAACTTGGAGCACGAAATCAGAGACTCCACCATGGCAGAGAACCTCAGAGGTACAGTCTCTACAGTACCTGATGTAGGAACTCAAGGGTTCAATATCAGGCTCACATGAGATCTGATCCCGATCGGTTTTTCAATTCCTCTTCGCCAACATCAACCAGGTTTCGCCTCTCAGACTCTCAGACCGCGCATCACTGCATTGAGCAAGGACTGCGGGCGATGTGTTGATAGAATGGACCATCATTGTCCCTGGATAGACAATTGCCTGGACCTCACCAGACATGAAGACTGCACGGTTGATGACGACTTGCGTCTGCTTTTCATGAGCTGCAAGAACGAGGTGTTGGCTTGGGCAATCAGAGGCCCTCAAGACGCATCATGTTCTTGAGTGCTGCGCCATGTTCCTGCACGGTGAGGTCGTTTTACTGCTTCGTTCTGGTACTTTTTGCGACCATCCTCTACTTCTACAATACGGTTTTTCTGTGCTCCGCAGAAAATTCCTTTCCAGCCCAAACGGTATCCAAAGTCTTCAAGATCGGCAGGTATGCTTTTGACACCGTGTTTCCAGAGATTTCGCGGGGCTGGGAGCTTGGAGATGACTTTGCACAGCAAAGTGCTCACAATACAGGGTTTAGGGTGAAGTGGTAAAGTCACACCAGATTTCTCGGAAATTGCGCAAACTTCAGCCACACATTGCATTCATGTGTGACATTCCACGACAGTGCCATCGAGCAAAGGTTCCTTCGGTGAGCTTCTGCAAGCCCTGACAAGCGGGTACACACCTTTGAACAAGTTTGTATTGGGGCACATCGGCAGACGGTTTCGGAGCAGCTGGAGTGTGAGACGCATCGGGACAGGTCCCTTGGACCCGAGCTACAACCAATCATTGTTCTGATAACAGCTTTGCTGGCTCCTCAGCCTGCGTGGATCTGGTTGCACGGTGTCGAAACGCTTCCGAGCACCAGGTTTGACGTACTTTGGGTGGTCTTCGTTGGTGCGCCCCCTCTTGCATACTATGAAATATGTTATCATAATCTGTCATATGTAAACTGGTGCTTGTGGAGTGAGAGCTCTTGGATGCCGGTCTCTTCCTGGAGGTGCCCTGGTCGCCAGACACACGGCGTACATGATCGTGAATGTGACTACTTATGAAGCAGTGTCCTTAACGAGACCTTCGCATTCAGGCGAGTACTTCGTGCCGCAGCTGCTTTTGCAGGTTTTGGTTAGACCCAATCATGTGGGACGACGCTTTCCAAAGCCCTCCGGCTGCAACTGCCAAACGATGCACTTCTTGTCATTTTCTCAGTCAAGGCAAACTGATGACTTGTTACGTTCATGCGACTGCATAGTGATTGCCAGGACTCGAGGGCGCTTCTGGTTCCTCCAAGGTTCCAATGCAGCTGACACGAATTTTCATGTGATGTTCTGGTTCTGCAGAGATGGCCGTCTCAGTGCAAACTTCTTTTTGGCACAGGAAGACGCATGAATAGCAAGCTTTTGCAGAATCAACCAGAAGAAAGCAATGCCGGCGGAAGTCTGTAACGTGCTGCATCTGCTGGTTTGCTCAAACATATGTACATGTTCAGAATTCATGTGGCGTGGGTGGAACTTTTTGCTGCGCGCCTCGGCTGCGTCGAGTTCCCTGAAACAGTTCAATAGAGCTGGAATGGCTGGGCAGAAGGATCCGCAATTGTTTTTATGTTTCAGCGCTGTACATGGTTACGCATCGGCAACTTAGGTCGAAGCCAAAAGCTGCGGCGGCATGAACACCTCCGATGTTTGCGCAGATGCAGATTCAGCCTTTCACAGGCAAGGGAAAGTGCAACGGTTTGAGTGCATGAGACGGTGTTCGTGTGTTCTGTGTGTTCTGTGTGTTCTGTGTGTTCTGTGTGTTCTGTGTGTTCTGTGTGTTCTGTGTGTTCTGTGTGTTCTGTCTCCTGGTTTGCAGGCGTCGTGGACACGACACTAGGGACCTAGATCTAAACGGCCTAAATGTTCTGCTGTGTGCATGGTGCCACAAGCGGTCCCACTTGAAGGTCCAAGCTGAGACCGCCACCTCTGGTAACAGATTTTCCAAAGGCATTTTCTTCTGCTTGTTCAACATGGACAGCTGCGATTCGGTAAGCTGGGAACATGACATGATTGGAGGCCGAATTTGACATATCTACACCCCGAAACTCGGGTGCCAAGTCGGAGGCAGGGCGCGCACGATCAGATTCATGGCTCTCTGTGTTTCGGGGAAGGCATCCAAGCACTTCATTGGCACGCCCACTGTTGGAGACCAAAGCTTTTGCTCATGGCCCCTTATGGCCGCTTATGGCCCCTTTTTTTGCGAGAAAGGGTACCCGGAAAGGTCTTTTCTGCCAAGCCACCGAGGCCACTGGCATCCTGAATGCGTTCCTAGACTGCGATCTTGATGATGCAGGTCTTCATCTTGCTTACCGTACGACTCATACTCGACTTTTGCAAGTCGTACTCTGGCAGCGATCTTTCACAGGAGACGATGATGGACCTCCTTTAGAACCTGACTATGATGCCATCAATGAGTTCTTGCAAGGTGCACTGGCACGAGTGTCTTTTCTCGGCATCACGAAAGCGCACAAGCTTGGCCGGAGTAGCCGTATTGAGGCCCTAGTTTTCTTTTCGAGCTTAGTGTTGCTCTGGGTGCATCATTTGTCGACGCGCGCAAGCTTTGTGTCACACATTAGCACACATTGTCACACATTATCACACATTATCACACATTATCACACATCATCACACTTTATCACACATCATCACACAGTAGCACACAGTATCACACATTCACACTCCCACGCTCACACAAGATCTGCACATGCCCATGCCTGCGTGCTTGCTTGACCACAAGCTTGCTCGCATGCTGTCGCATGCGTGCTGGCTGGCTTGCTTGCTTGCTTGCCTGCCTGCCTGTCTGTTGCCAGCACGCGCGCGCGTGCTATCGCACTCTCGCGAGCTTGCATGTATGCTTCCACTGTGTAAATTGCTCAGCAGCAGGTGCGAGCACATTGCGCATGTCAGTGACATTAAGTGACCGGGCGCGCAGCGCCGTGGAGCAGAAAAGTCGAGCTTCGTGGGTTGTGTTTGTCAGCGGTGGTATGCGTGAAGTGCGGGCTCTTGCAGTCTGCATGATCCCGCTACTTGTCGCTGCCGTTTTAGCTTGACCTGGCCCCTCCACAGGGTTGTCCCATGCAAGCAATTAGATGTATGATGCACATATGTGTGCAATTGTCTGCCAGAGTCCCACACAAACCCCGCAAGAGGATGCAAGAGAGATATTTATGGCAAGAAAGAGCCCTCCCACACAAGCTGCGGGGTGTTGGATGAGGAGGGATGAGGAGGGCTGAGGAAGGATGAAGGAGAGGCGATGTGGAGCATTGTGGAACTCTACGGAACTCTGCCAATAATTAGTGTGCAGCTGTGTGCAGCTCAGCCCTCCTGTCGCGGCATGGAGACGTCGCAGAATTGGAGCTTGACATGTCGCTTCAAAAGGCGAGCTCCCAGCAAACTTTGAACTGGATGCCGAGCGCATCCGAGCAACCTTGGCGTTGCGATGCAACGGGAGGCTGGGCTCGACCGAAAGCCATTGGTGGGTCATCTCCGCCGAGCCTGGAGACAGTTAAGCCTGAGCTCGATCCGTCCATATCGTTGTGAAGCTGCGGCATGGATGCTTGTCAGAGCGAAGATGCGAGAAGAGGCTTTTGCTGCCACTCGTGCAACGCACCTTGTAGCAAACGTCGGGCTCTGTACTTCGCAGGCGAAACCCCTCGACTCTTCTTGGCCTGAAGCCCCGGAACAATCTAGACCCTTAGACCCTGGATGCTCGGCTCCTGCAGCGCCAACTTGTATAGTCTTTTCACCGGTCATGCGTGCCGAGCTTGACGCGTGCTTGTCCGACAGTTTTTGGTGACACAAGTGATCACAAGTGCATTCCTGATCCAATGACAGGGCTGCCTGAGATCCTGAGTCGAGTTTTTCTAGTTCATTGTACTCTTTCAGGATAGAGCATGGAGTGTGAGTCCCACGCAAACAGCAGTAACCATGTGAGGCAAGCAAGATGGGCATGCGCCTCAGGGGGTCGCCAGCGCTGTTGCGGCTTCAAGAGGGACTGAGTGCCAACATGTGCCAGCAGGTCATCGCCCTCAGTCAGCAATGCAAGCACCAGGCCAGTGAGTAAGACGCCTCAGATGCTTTCCGCGTGCGCAGAGTCTGTGTCATCATGTCAGGTTTGATCCAGAAAACGCTGGGAGATCAGGCGCTACAGCCGCTACAGCATGCCACATGTATTGGGCAGCTGATTCGTGGAGTCAATGAGCCTGTGCACGTTGTGCACATGCAAGGTGCTCTCGACGTGGAGGCCTTCTGCAGTGCTGTGACGACGTTCAGCACGCGCGCAGCACAGCCTTTCAGGAGGAGTACGAGGATGACTTTGATCCAGAGTCTGATGGAGAAGACCTCTGAAATCGGGCGACAAGCTGAAAGGATCTGAAAGTCTTAGTAATAGGGCTAAATGGTTTCTTCTGGTTTCATATGGTTTCATATGGTTTGATTTCCAACGAACAGTCTTCAACGTCCATACATCGACATCTTTTAGCTGAGTCCAGCCATGCTGGGGCTTCCATTGTGTTTCACCTTTCACTCATCACGAGACCACATTGAGACCACATTATTGAATACCCTTTGAATATCATGGAATGTCATTGAATATCATTGAATTCTGAGTATTGTTGAACATCGTCGGTTGTCTTTTGCATGTCGTCGAGTATGATTGAACCATTGCTTGTGAACGGAATTGAGTGACAGCACAAATTGGTTACAATTATTTTTGCGAGCTCCTGCTGTAAAACCGTGGTCGCGCTGGATGTTCCGTGCACCTCAACGTCACTCAACCTCGGATGAGGCTGTTTCACTGTCAAAATCCGTCGAACTGAGGTGCTGGTCTGATGTTCAGATTCAGCGTATACAGTACATCCTCAGGTGCATGGTATTCTCACGGAAAAACAGAAGCCGTGACTCGTCACCAGGGTTGTGCGTCCTGGCAGATACAATTCGGCTAACACTGGGAGTCCCCAACATGTACCAACGGGTGCAGAACATGTGAAGCAGCGGTCTCCAGACATATCCAGACGTGTGCAGGCTGTGGACTCACATCTGCCAGCAGCTCAGCCAATGCTCAGCACAACAGATGTCACCAACATGCACGCACCATTTGTCTTTCAAAAGAAGGGTGATGCCATGTGATGCCCGACTTAACCGGAGTCTGCAGGCCTTGGCTAATTGCACGAGTTTCTGGACGCTGGACAGCAGCGGCGATGCCAGGGGCCGAGTGTTGAGAGCGGGTCGGGCTCAAGTGTGAAGGGGCCGGTGAGGGCATCACGGTTTGCTTACGGCTTGGCCGCTTGGTGTGGTGTACAGATGTGTGTAGCTTGTCTCAGACTTGTCTCCTGCCACACAAGGCGGCAGCTTTTCTGGGAAGTCCTCAAGACAGCTTCATCGCTCCCGGACAGGTTGAGCTGTGTCAGAAACTGGTTAGAAATCATGCCGCTGGATGGGGCTGTAAATTGGAATTCGGCCTCACGATGCGCATGACAGATGTGCCGTTGCGAAGGCTGCGAGGAGCAAGTTCGATCAAGGCCTGGGCCACAGTTTGAGGCCATATCAGCGCTGGTACATCACGAAACAGAGAGCCTTATTCAATCAGGAAGCACGTTTTCGAAGCAAGGGCGTGACCAGAGAGTGCCGATCCCTTGATTACAAACATAGCAAAGCCGATTACAATGAAAACATCGTCACGAAACATGTTGAAGCTTTTCGGCCCTTGGCCTAGCGGCGATCGTTTTCACGACTTGCTGTGTAGAGCCAGTGTCGTATACCGCTGCGAATGCATCCGGTGCCGGTCGGAGTGTTAGATTGCAAGATCATGCATGCCTCGCATCGAGAAGGATACGAGGGAACCCCTTGGCTGGCAAACCCGGCGAGCAATGCGTAGGAATACAAGGTCTGGTGCGTTTGTCAGAATGGGCGGCCGCGCGCCCCCGCGAGCGGCAGCCAGAAGGTACTAGCAACACTAGCAACACTAGCAACACTGGCAATACTGGCAATGGCAGAAAAGGTCTGTATAGGCCTGGCCCTCCACCACCACCATAAGTTGACGAAAACGACCGTCTCCACATAGTAGGGGTCCTTCCACCCGAGGAGTGGTACAAAGAGAAAGCTTTGGTCTGGGGAATCTTTATCATTGTAGTTTTTTGTGTGTGTGTGTGAGCACCCTAGCTTCAGGAGCTACTCCAAATTCAAAACGGATGTGGTAGTTGCTTGAAGCGTTATGCGGACACCACGTTTGCCTTTTCAATGCCTCGACTTTGTTTTCGAAGGAAAGCCTCAGCTGCCTGACGAGCCCTGAGTTTCAGCATTCTGCATGCAATGACCCGGACAAAAAGGGTGAAGTGAGAGTGGGGGTGACTGGGTGGCTCGTGCCAAGCTGAATTTGCAGTGCTTTGGTCCTTTGTTCGCTTCGAGCGAGCACACGTCCTTCCATGCAATGTGACGGGAGTGCATCCTTTGCCAACAGCCCGATTCGCCGATGCTATCTTGCTTCCCCTAGGGCTGTGTTACGGGAGCGCCATGGAGTCCAATGTGAGACAATTTGTGGATCTGCGCTGAGTCGCGCAGGCGCTTCCATGTTATAATCTTCACTCTTCCGGCATGGACACACATGTCGCAGATGCAGGCTGCCTGTCAAGCCAAGCTCCAAAGCGATGGTTGCCAGCTTGCAGTCTCAGGGATCAGAGTGGGGCTTTTGAAGCGTGTTTTCATATGTTTTCGGGATTTCCCGTGTGGACCAGGGTAAGTACCGCGCTTGTGCCCATGCTTGTCCCTTTTTGTGCTGCGCATCCAAGTCTGCAGCTGCCGAGCTGGAGCACTTCATTGGTTATGGGGGGAAACATCTTGGCACAGTGTGCTACCATCCCTCACAGGCTCTGAACCGCTGAGTGTTTCTACGATTCTGTTTGAGGGCTGTGATTTGCGAGGGAGCCGCTGGAAATAAGAGAGCAATGTATACATAAATCAACAAATTCAACACCCCCTGCAGAGCCTTGCCAACTCCTTGCTTCTCTTATGAGAGCTTGTTAATGACGGTTATCGTGTCGCGGCTGTATAAATACGAATGAATGTCAAGTACTTTAAACAAATCAGCGTATTTCCCCCAGTACATTCCCAAGGTGGCCAACTAGACTACAAGTACTATACTTATGTTCGGCGGATAAAAAAGGGTTGCTTCATGATACTAGTTATATCTTCCGGGCCCCCATGAAGTAAATTAAATATCTAACAAGTATGCTGGGGTGTATTTTGAATAATGATGGTAGTTGCAATATTGCCTCCGGGAATCGGCTTATTTCCAGTCTTTACACTACATATCTGAATCCGCATATGAAACCAAAATCAATATAGCATGCAATATCTCTGAGCTTGCTTTAGAGAAGTCGTTACAGGACTTCTGCTGTTGATCTTAGTTGTAACCCTGGCGTTACAGCAATGAGTCGCATGAATGATGTTGCTCCATGTGAACGATACTGTCAATGATGTTACTTATGTAAATGTCTTCAGTGTACATTCTAAAACTAGATACGCTAAACGAATCAGTTTAGTTCAATGAGTTGTGCTAGTTGTAGTGATTGTTAACTACATTAAGTAGATTATAGATATTACTCATGACTCATTGTGTAACTGTTTTGCAACTGTTATTGTAGCTTTCTACATTTAATGTGACCCGAAGGCAGTATACATGTTGAACGATCATAAGGGACGGCCCCGGAGCACACACCAACAAACATCCAATGCTGGCAAGATAGTTTGTTGGTGGCAGCATGTTGTTTTTGTTTTGGTTTTTGACCTAGTGTTTTGGTATTTTGGTTGAGAAACAACAACAACTCGTGTTTTGGTTTGTTTTGGTTATCCCCGGACGGCAAAAACGACCCAACACCCAGTTTTGTTTGGGTTTGGGATCTGAAAACAGTTAACTGGAGTTCTGATTCGTTTTCCTAGCCCAACACAGCAAACAAACAATCAACGCCC